GATTCGGTCGCGCAATATTTTTAGGAATGTATGATTTTGTTTGTGGTGCCTTTGGAGACTGATGAAGATGTGAACATATTTACTACGTATCACTGTCCTCACATGATAAATTTTGCCAGGTAGTGTCACATTCGGCTTTAAGCTCGGTAAAAACCTCTTTCCATAAAAAGCTTTGCCCGCGAATTTGATTGTCAGAGAGGTCTCCGTATTGAACGTAACTCCCAAAAGTCACCAATTCATTGAACATTGGCAGAAAGATGACGTAACGGAGTAAAAATGACAACTTTTTGCAAAAAAACGAAATTGAATAACGAGGGCTTCGGACAACGGTATTTGTAATAAGTTAAAACACGTGTAACAAATGGCAAAAGCGATGAGACGTATGGATTTAAAGTTTTATGGTCACTGGAGGATAACCTGCATGCCCCACCATAACTTCTTAGGTTAGCACGCACCTAAGGAGTGCAATTTCAGTACACATTAAGATAGATGACGAAAATGCAAGTCCGATATGACAAACCGTGATATCCTTAATACAAAACCGATAACGTATAAGGGTTGTTGCCCTGACTAGACTTTCGCATATGACGGGGACATGAAGAACCTGTGAACGCTAAGTTAAAAAAACTATCATTTTCACCGCAGCAGCTTGTGGCGAATAATAAAGGTGGACTGACAAAAAAAATCTCAGACAGCGAAGTTCTGGAGAGAAGCGACACTCTCGGTGTTCAAGCCATGATGAGGCAGACACAATCGCGATGGAGCGGAAACGCATAAATGAAGAATGACTGCCTGGGCGGCCATTCCAGGGGGACGTCGCTGTAGGACACCCTGAGGATCTGCCTCAAGTAGTTGCAAACAAATCAGAATGCATGTGTAGACCTCGAACAAGATCGGCCGGCCTGGGGCACTGGCGTCAAAATCGAAGCAATATTTTTTTTCGAAACCAACGTGACAGAGGCTGTCAAGGACAAAGGAAAGACTAGTAAGACTCAAGTGCAGCACATCAGCGATGCAAGCATTCAATCCATCATTTTTTGTGCACCCTCAGAGGAAATTTACGGCAGGGATTGGCCTCGTAGCACATCTG